GGTATCGGTGGAGAGAAACTGGATTTCTGAAAGCGTCGGTGGCCTAGTGGTTAGGCTCTTGGACTCGTAACCGTAAGGTCGTGGGTTCGAATCCCGTCAGGAAACCGACGTTGTGTCCTTGGGAAAGGCACTTTACACGAAATTTCCTCACTTCACCCAGCTGGGAATGGGTACCCGGCTATAGACAGTGAAAGATCTTGTCAGTTTGTTAGTGTTTGAGCGCTTAATCAGCTGCTTGCACTGTTTGCTTCCCGGGAAGCTGAGAATGTTTCGGAGTGTTCTATGGTCTGCTGGGGTAATAATATAGTGTAAAGCGCATAGAGCCTGCAGTTGAGCTGGGATATGCGCTGTACAAATGCTATTTATTATTATTATTATTATTATTATTATTATTATTATTATTATTATTATTATTATTATTATTATTATTATTATTGTTATTATTATTATTATTATTATTATTATTATTATTATTATTATTATTATTATTATTATCATAATTATTATTATTATTATTATTATCATTATTATTATTATTATTATTATCATTATTATTATTATTATTATTAATATTATTATTATTATTATTATTATTAATATTACTATTATTAATATTATTAAAGCTCTTCATCGTTCCTACCTACCACAACTACGTATGTTTGTGATCAATGTGTGGCCTCTTTTCAACGGCAGGAATTGTGTACTTGTAGTAGTATGTCATACATGAGGCAGCGTGGTGGAATCAGGCTTTCGTCAAAATAATCAAAATGAAGAAACTTGCATTTTTCTGCAGGTTTGTGAATTTTTATCAAATTTTTGTATTTTGGCGCTACAGCTTTCATGCCCATTAAAGAACTAATTTCTGAGTGGATTTTTCTGAAACACGTTGATTTAAAGCACAAAAAAATGTAAATTTTCACTTACCACAGACTCTTAAGCTAAGGAAATAACTCATCTTTGACGCCATTTTCTCGCTAATTTCACCTATGAAAACAGGTGACTCCACCTCCTTCATTCGCAAATATCTCGACTTTTATTCAGGATAAATGGATATTTTTTTCCATCCAAATAAAGACAAGTGAACAAGCTTTAAGATGATGCAAATACCTTTATATGACAAAAAATTGACGAGAGCCTGATTCCACCACGCTGCCTCACACATATTCTGTCTGTAGTTGGCGCCTTGTGTCCAGTTGCATTTCCGACCGTACTGTTGACCGAGTCCTACCTAACAAAAACTAGCCCTCCTTAACCGAGCAAATTTAGGGCCTACCTTTGAAAAATAGCGTATTTATAATGGTACGAGGGTTATCACAGAAATAACAAGAAACTGTCTATAAAATAAAAAGTTTTGTCAATTTTCATTCATTCATTCATTCATTCATTCATTCATTCATTCATTCATTCATTCATTCATTCATTCATTCTTTTACGTATTAGGCATACGTAAATTATTTTGCCAATTACCAGTACCCACTCACTCACTCACCCAGTCACTCACTCACTCACTCACTCACTCACTCACTCACTCACTCACTCACTCACTCACTCACTCACTCACTCACTCACTAACTCACTTACTCACCCACTCACTAGCTCACCATACTTTTTAGTTTTAGTTTTAGTAAGTATTTTACGGCAGTTTCAAAACAAGTATGTCATATAAGTGCGGAAGACTAGAGGTGTTACAAGAGAATAACAAAAACAAAAAGGAGGAGGAATAAGGACGACAGATAATTTGATAGGAAAGAAGGAGCAAACCACAGCATGCAGAGCACCTGCAAACCACCCACTCACCACACTTAATCCTACCCTCCGCTCCCCCTTCCACAGGACATGCACAACAGAAGAGCTCAAAAACACAATTCAATAATTTAAACGCTTTTATTGATGAAGACACTTTTCCCTATGAGTGTGCCGTCGACAGAGACAATTTTTGGGGTTCAGAATTCAGTCCAAAATGATCTAACCATCACCTGTTCAAGACACTCACACGTGCAAACGACCGCTTACCACTTTTCCCTCTTGTGTTTTTTCTACTATTACTATAATGACACTGTCCAAGAGAAGCACCTGTTTAAGATGACCATTTTTTCTTCGACAATTGATGGTCTTCTTGAGCAGGTTCAGCTGTTCTTGGATTGGACTGAAAATTCGCCTTTCGTTAACGTGCATTACATTAAAAAATAACAACACCCAGCAACACTAGAAACATCAACATAAGCAGCAGCAGCATCAACAGCAGCAGCAGCAGCAGTAGCAGCAGCAGCAGCAGCAACGACAACAAATATAAGAACTTAATTAAACAACTACGACAACAACAGCAACAGAGCGGTCGTCACGCTGGACGTGGAAGAATGACAATAACAGAACAAGCCACGACAAAATAATAAGAACAATACAGACATCACTGAAGCCTTTGACATCATCATCATCATTATCATTATCATCATTATCATCCTTCTCCTCCTCCTCCTCCTCCTCCTCCTCCTCCTCCTCC